GAGATAAATGTACTTTTATTGTCTTGACATTTCATCTTTCAAAAAGCCTTATAATTATGTTTGAATTGAATTTTTATTACATTCACGACCTCTAGATAGAAATTTACCAATTTATTTTATATTCTATAGCGTGATAATGTCTAATTCATGCAGTATATATATATATCTTTTGTTTTTATAAAAAAATAGATTGTGTATTCAACAGAAAAAAAAACATCGAAAATAAAAACAAAGACTACAATAATACAGATTCATCTGATACACAAGAGAAACCAAGCGCACATAAATCACTGCAATATTTTAAATATAATGTATTCGGAGGTATTCATCTATTTATTTTCTTTTTGTTACTTTAAGTTGACATTTGAAATTGATTAGCCCACCATGATTCAACATCTTTTCGTTCATGATTAAAATTACTTGTTTGCCATGAACACCATGGATAAGATTCATCACCACTTAAAGTCAGATTCATATTTTGTTGTAATTGTTGTGGCATTGGTCGTCGTGCTTCTTTAAATTCAATAGATGTATCATGTATACCTCCTGGTGTACGATAGTTTGAATTCTAAAAAAAGAAAATGATATTGAATAAAAAAAAAAGAAAATCAATCAATATACTACAGTGACATCATTTGAAGGTGTTGGTAATGTAGTTGCTCTATCAAGTTCGTTTTTGACAACATCTTTTTGTATTTGTTGTTGTTGTTGATCGTCAAGATTTTTTATTCGTCGTTCTTCATCACTGCTCACATTATCTGTTGTTCTTTTTAATGATTCATTTGCTGTCATTGCTTGTGCTTCACGAAAAAATGCTAATTCATTACTACGTTGTAAATTTTTAATAACATTTGTTTGAACTTTTGCCTTAATACGTTTTAAACATTTATTAAGCCAATTACGTATTGTTAATTTTGCTACTTCTTCTTCAATTAAATATTCAAGTTCTTCACGAGCAAGTAATTCTTCGAATTGTAACGATTTACGAATATCAACCGAACGATACGCTAACATACTAATAAAAGAAAAGCAAACACTTATTAGTGAAATCGCTCTAAGATTAAAATATGAAACACGGTATAGTTGCTATTGGTACTCCTCATATGGTTGTTTTATTCTATGCATTATGGGATATATTTTCTTATTATGCTTTTACCTAATCCTCTAGAAATGCAATAAGGAAATATAGTGTTCTAAAAGTTTGTCAGAAATTATATGCCTATTAAATATTTTCAATAGTGAAGAAGGTTACAATGTAACATTTTTTTTTATGAAGCATATCGATTTCACCATTAAACTTTTTTTTCAATAAGTCAGATCAGAATCTCTTCTTTCACGTGTTGCAAGTCTTTTCAAATTCCTATTTTTTCCTGACCTGCACCACTGCTACACGTTGCAAAATGTGAGTTCGGTAACAGAGACACTAATTGTATTCTATTTTAGTGGCATTCAAGAATATTTCTTTTGTCATTTTTAACTTTCAGATGAGGATCTTAGGAAAAATATTGAGCCGATCCTAGAGTCAAAACATTTCTCGGTCTATGCACTGAATTAAAACACGTAAATTCGTTATTGTCAAATATTTGAGAAAATAGCCTTTCATAGAATTTTCTATGAAATCGTTTTATTTTTGCTACTGATTCTTATTATTTTTTTCAATATTATCTTTAGTAAACATTGTTTTGTATATATTCGTATAGAAAAAATTCGAATCACACTAAGCGACATGAACATAGAGTTCATGAAATAAAGGCCTTCTCTCTGAATTCGTCATGATAGAAAAAATGTAACTCTGACATTGATATACTTTATTGTTAAAATCGCAAGAAACCTCACTTTGTTGGATTATTTACTCAGCTCGGGCAGGAGTCAATATCCTATTAAGAAAATTTTGCAATCAGGTGCAATATTTGATATTTATACATTTTCGCTATCAACATGAACTTCAACAATGCTTTATTGTGTTGTTACTCTAAGGCGTCATCAAGAGAATTCTTTAATATCATGTTTATTTGATATTTCTTTGTCCAATTTATGCACATCTTTTGTTTCACAACCTTCAATAACAGAACAATTTTTATTCCAATATTCGCAGGTAGAGTCATTTTATATGAAATATATTGTATAAAACTTTGGTGAGTATGGAATCAAATCGTAAAAGAAACATGTAATTTAATTGAACTACACAAGAATTATTTAAATTGTATTTTGTAGTAAACTTTTGGAACATTCTGTAGTTCATAGATCGTGTTGCATAAAAATCCACAACGTACAAAAATTAATTTTATACTTACTTAAGTACATCATGAAATGTTACATCATTACCATTATTTAATTTTTCAATTTCATAACACATATATTTATAGAGTTTTTCGGCATCCACTTCTAATCTTCCCTATGAAATACATTTTATTGAAAAATTTATCTTATTAAATTAAATATTTAATTTATATTTACTCGAAGTAATCTTAATAAAAATTTTACACGTCGAACTGGTATAATACCTTTACGTTCTATATCAATCATATTCCAAACTGTTTGAAAATGACGAATATCCGTATAACTAAGTAATGCATCTTCTTCATTTGAATAGAATAATGAAAAATTTTCCATAATAATAGCTACAAGAAGATTTAATACAATATAAGTAATTATAATATAAAACGAACAAAAATAAAGTATAGATGCTGTTGGATTTCCACAATCACTTTCCCAATAGGAATCACCACGTGTACATCGTGGTGGTACAACCATACAATCATGCATTATTTTATTCCAATCTTCACCAGTAACAATTCTCATTAATAGAACAATTGCATTAGATACTGTTTTAAAATTAACATGTCGTCCAAGTTCAGAACCAAATTTAACACAACCAAAAAGTATAACACCAGCAAAAGCATATACTAACATAAGTAAAAACATACCAAGAATAATAAAAAATGATTTAAAGAATGATACAATAATAGTTAACATAAGCATTTTAAGTGTTGCCTGAGAAAATAAAAAGAAAAATAATTGTAATAAAAAAATGTTGCGTTTCTTTTTTGCGAGACGGGAGACAAAAGATTTGGTCAGTAAAACAGATGAAATGACCAATTTCAATACATAAAATTTACTAACATTCGATTATACGAAAAGGTAAACATAAAAAGAAAAATACATTATAGTGTAATTCACTTTTCTTTATTTACTTGTATCATGCACTTAGTGCACATGCTATATAAGTACTCTTTGTGTGTGACTTCAGCTTAGAGTCCACGAGTAACAAAGTTTGGATGTGGTACAAGTTGTACAATATAAAAGTAATGTTTGTACAAGAAAATGATGATATAAATAGAAACAAAAGACGTTACCAAGAAAATAAGAAATCAAAACATTGCATTGACAAAGCTACATTTGGTAATGTTGTTAGTGCAAAAAATATGAGAACAATATATTACAAATCTAATAAAGTCAAGCATCGTAGAGTATAGGTATAAATAAAATGAAAGTTCATTTGTACCCATAGTTATACCCTATTTTATCTGGATAAACAAAAAATTCTGCTAATAATTTCTATTCTTTGCACTGAGCCAGTCTGAATTTTTTTTTCTGATTAAATTCGCATTTCTCACTGATATAAATTTTTTTTTTTGTATATATAATAAACCGACCATTTTAAAATTAAATCAAGGGAAAAAGAGCAAAATTTTATAGAATCTAAGTCTTTAATAAATGAAACTCAATGATACAATTATATATGTCGAATTCTAATAGAATAAATCAATCTGGATTTATTCATAAATAAATGAAGAACTCAACTCAATTACAAGTCTTGCAGGAGAAATGATATAATTCAATACAACTAATGAGCGATCGATATATATATATCAATGATCAGAAACGAATGGAATAAATTTACTAGGAATCCTTAGAAATTCAGAATTCGGCTATTTCCTTCTTGCATTAAATACTAATAATTCAATTACTAACTACTAAAATCATAACTTTGTTATTTACTTACATGTTTTCCAGCAATAGTAAAAAACCGAAGTATAATGACAGTAAATCCAAATGTATTACTAAATTCTTGCTAGAATAATGACAAAAAAAAATTTCATTTTTTTTTATATGAAAATAATTTTTGGTTATTGGTTTTTCTTACCAGTTCAATCTTGCTAATAGAAATAAAATTTAATACAATCCAACCAATACCAAGTATAGTAACTAATAAATCAAAACGATTACTACGTGATTGCCAATAACCAACAAAACCAAGTGCAATACATTTCATAACAGCTTCAACAAGAAATAAAAATGTAAATAAAGATGATATTAATGCTGATATTTGTGTTATTGGTTCATTAGCTTTCCATGGTCTATAAAGTAATGCACAATTAAGTAGAACAAGTATAGCAGAAGATTTTTTAAATAATCGATTTTGTGTTATATCAAATACATATGAACGAAATTTGCTATTTTCTGGTCGAGGTGGTCCACGTAATGGTTGAGCAAGTTTTATACGACCTTTTAAATCCATCCAACGACGTTGATCAACTGTTAATAAAGCCGTTCCCTTAAAAAATATATATATAATTCAAGAAAGAAAATTTATTAATTATTCAGAAACAAAAATATTACCTTATTTTCTGAATAATTTGCAATGACAACACCAACAAATAGAGTTAAACCAATTAATGTACCAATAAATACAAATATATGAACAAATATAACATGTTCCTAAGAAATTTTTTCTATAAAACAAACAACAACAAAAAAAAATAATGATACTTACTGGACCCATACGTTCCATAATAATATCACGTATATCAAGCCATCCTTCAAGTGATAGAACTTCAAAAAGAGCTAACATAGCACTACCAATATAATCAAAATTAAAATTATGTGGATTAGCCCTACAAAATAATTTTGTTTTCAAAAAAAAAACAAACAAATAAAATTCAATAACATACCATACACGAGGTACTAGCATAACTGGATCATCGCCACTAACATTCATTTTTGATACAGAAAGTTTTCTCCAAAATGTTCCATGACATGATTTCTAGAAATTATTATTTTAATTCCATTTATGAAAATATTTTGATTTAACATACTTGATCATCAAAAAAAACTTTATCATTACAACGAGCTAATCGTCCACCAATAATTTGAACACCATAAATAGCAAACATAAACATCAATACAACGAGTAAAATTGATACCTAGAAATAACAAAATGTACAATTTGAAAAAGAAATTCTAATATTATATAAGTTGATTTTGTTTTTATTTCTATTTTATTACTTTACGATTTATTTATCTTGATATGATGAGTGAAATCAGTCATATAAATTTTGTTGTAAAAAGTTTGAAATTAGATTCGATGAATAGAAATATCTTCATTTCTATTGTGATAAATCTACTCAATTATTCGATGAAACCGTTCGGTATCATACGTAGTAGAGACATGACTAAGATCCGTCGAGTTCAAGACCAACCCGACAGGCTTTGACCACAAGGCTTGTTTAAGCTTAAACATTTGTTTCTCGTTTCATCAAATTAATAGATTTGTATAATGCATTGAAATTCTTATACAAACATCAACATTTGCATACGCAAGTAGACTTAGAAAACCATTCAATTTTCTATGACGAAATGATGAATGTTACATTGGGGATAACTTGAAGTATTGCTAAGATCTACCCAAAGTTTTCTTCGCCTTCAGTAACTAAGTTCACATATTCAGGCAATATTTTCAATAAAATGAGCGAACCCATAATGTAACTTCTTTTTTTTCTTTGTTAACACTGCTGCTTCACCATGATTTTATTGTTTCAGTAAATCAGATCGAAAACTCTCCTGTCGATGGTCAAAATTGAATAAAAACAAATGTTAGAGTGTTTCTTGAAAAATGTACATCTTTTGACACAACCTGTGAATTTTTTCTGAACTGTATCAGCTTTATATAGTTCAAAAAATGAGTTGAAAATAAAAATGATTAACTGTATTCTATCTAAATAGCATAAAAAGATTTGCCACCCTTCTTCTACCTATTCTTAACCTTCCGATGGGGATTTCATAAAGATTGTTGATTCTACTCTACTTTGTCACTAATATTATAAAATATTTCGACTACGTATTCAACACTGTCAGAAAATTAAACTTTAAGAAACGAAACATTTGTTAATACAATCCCAACGAAATTAAATTGTGAAACAGCATTGATCTACATAGTTCGTACTTTCAAAAGTTTCAGTTTGGAAATTCCAGCGTACTGATATACCCTTGATGAAAGATACTTTTCATTTTCTGTACTTAAGCCTATCACAAGTTGTTATGGACTATATACATTGTTAAAAAAAAAGAGTAATTTTTCAAGCTTTACCAATAGAATTTCTTTAAATCCTCGACAAACTTCATAAACAACTTTTTTCATATCAGGTACCAAAATAAAAATTCGTAAAGGTCGTATTGATCGAAGAAGCATAAGAAATTGAGCAAGACTATTCGCTGGAACTTTTCGTGGTGACCAACAAAGAAATATCAAACCAATAAAAAAAACTACTACATCGATAACTCCACCAATATCTCGAATTAATGCTTTTGGTGTAAAAACTAAACCATGTGCAAAAATTTTTAATGTTAATTCAACACTCATAAAAATAACAAATGCATATTCGGCTATCTACGAAAAAAACAAAGAAAATGAATCAATCAGTATTAAAAAAGGAATAACAAAATAAAAATTAGTTATGTACTTGTAATAAAGGTTGATCAACAACTCGATTAACAGGTGTTTCAAATGACATACTAACTGTTGATAATATTGTTACAAGTATCATAATCCAATCAAGATATGTTACTAAACCAAGAAATTTACTAGAATGAAATACATGATAGGTTTTGAAACAAGGAGAAAAAAAAAGAAGACTTACTGTCCTTGTTTATATTGACTAATTTTTAATTCTTGTCCAAGAGAATCTTTAGTTTTAACATTATAACGAGCTTCAACAAGAAATTGACAAAATTTTCGAAAATTACTTTCACGTGCGATTATCAATAAAGGTGTATCAAAAGATGGATGATTTTCACGAAGATCTTCTTCCTGTTGATTTCTAAACAAAACAATACAGTGTTCATTTATCTCAAAATCATATCTTTTCATATATATATATACATAGGCAAAATCATTTTTTAACAACATGGCATTGCAAAAATAAAACATGTGTACCTCAGGATAATGGACTTTCCTAGAACTCTATTTTTATATATATTACATGTATGTTAAGGTATTCTAGATATCCTAAAGAGATCAATGTGCTCGAAACTTTTTCTCAGAGGATTTATCAGTAAAAACAAAAAAACTAGCGTTAACGACATAGTGCAACAAACAGAACATAGACACTCATTGCATGAATTCTAGCGCTAAAGCAACTCTGAATTGAGACAGCATTAAATAGTATATTCTATTGACACTTTCTGAATTTAGAAAGTCTCTATCAAAAACATTCTATTGAACATGCCTAGATTTTTCCAAAAAATTCGTTTACTTTTCGCAAGCGATGTGATAGAGTACGAATTTACAAACAAAAAAAAATCTCTTATCACTCAATGAGAAGTTCAAAATTTAATTTCAAACAGTCAAAACTCTTCTTCAGAATCTCTAGATAATGATAAAACAAACATTTTTGTTTCATAAGTTGACAAGGTCTCTAGAAAACCAGTTTTTACAAGGAAAATTTTTTTTCGAATCCAATCCTGTTATTCGCTAATTACTTTTTAATAAATAGTCAGCTGAAAATGCCAAATTTTTACATATGTCGATGTTAAAAGAACTTTTTGAGAAAAAATAACTCTTGTAAAGAATCAAAATCAAATGAAAGATAAGTATGTTCCGTATTGCCAGTAATGGCTTATTTACCGTTTTAATTCAGCTTGTTGTTTTCGATATTGAAATACTTTGATATCATAATCATCTTGATTTCGACCTTGTAATGCACCAATATCTCCATTTTCACGTATAACATTTACTGGTTTTGATCGATAACCTGAACGACGCATGGAATTTCTATTGAAATATTAAAAAAAAAAGTTCAATAAAAAACTTAAATCAATAAATGATTTGTTTTCGTTGTTTTTTTTCTTTACTTTCGATCAAGTCGAATCTTATTTTGTTGTACAAATATTGATACTTTATTATCAGCTGTACTTGCTAATTGTACTTGACTAGCATCACCACTTAATAAACGTTGATTACTTGCATTTCTATAATATTCTTCTATTTATAGAGAAGAAAAAGAGAAAAAAATAATTAAAATAAACCTGATAATATTGTTTACAGCTGTTCGTTTCATAGTATCACCTGTTGATCGATATTCTGGCGTATGTAATGTTTTAACTGTATATTTTTTATTATATAAATCCATTGAAAGTTCAGGAGAATATGAATAAATATCATCTTGATTAAGAAATTGACGCATAAAACTATCACGAACTTTTGGAATTATAAAATCATGTGGTAAGCGTGATAATTCAACCATTTGAGGATGATCAGGAAAACTTTCAAATACACGTAAACGCCATGGTAATTTTTGTTGAATTTCTGCACTAGCTTGACGTGTTTTTAACTTAAACAAAAAATAATAACAATTACATTTGGTACAAAGTTCTAATTACAATCAAATGTTCAGAGAATTTTTAGATAAGATGCTTGTTTACTTTTGACTTGCTCAAAAGTATTTTCGACGAGTCAGAAGCTATGAATTAGGATGTTCTTTCCAAATATTAGTTTAGAAATTTTGTTCGATAGTAGTGAAATAATCTTTGAAAAACCCAAAACCTTAGTTTGGATGAAACTTATGAGCTGAAGTTTCTGATGAACATATTTGCTCATATTAATCTGCTTGAAAGCATCTCAGACAATTCAAAAACTATAGGTCGCGACTAGAATTTGGATACAGGCTGAAATATATTGTATCTATTTTTTGTTCAAGAGTAGTGAATGACTTTTTGAAAGACCTAAAAATTATTTTTAATGATGAGCTAACAAGTTTTTGTTTATCTTATAAGTCTGTTTTCGAATATGCTGAAAGTTGTCACAGCCAATCGCTTTGTAGAGCGGACAGTTCTCTACAAAATGTAATATTGAACTAAACTGTTGCTTTGACTCAAGCATTTTTTCAAGAGCTTCTTTAAACATAAAACAGATGTCGATTTTTCAGAAGTGAGCATTTAAGAAAAACGAAAATTGAGGTGCCTTGTGGGAAGAGAAAGTCTTCGACTATTGCGTTTTGTAGGGTAGCTACTGATCTACAAGCTCATATAATTAAAGATCACACCTTTTAGATACAAAAATGTTCTATATAAACTTAATTTTTTTTTGGCTTTTCAAAGATGATTTCACCATTCTCAAAAAAAAGTTATTCTATAGCTATTCGATAGAGAATTTTACGCTCTGTGTTTTCATGATCTTTTCAAGGTTTCTATTGCTATCGTTGATAAGAAACAGTCATGTGTGATTGCTAAGTTGAGGAGTAAAAGCAATTAGATTGTATCGATTGAAAAAAAGAAAACAATAATTTTATTCTATCAGAGAGGGGTTTTTTGTCAGAACATTTTTCTTACAAATATTTCTTCTAAAATTTGGAAACATATCACAAGATGCAAAATGTTGTGTCATATTTGAAAGTTCAGGAAATATTTGTAAAAAAAAATTCTTTATCATTTTCTTTTAATGTTGTAAATGGATGATAAAGCATGTATTAATATTTTTACTGCAGCAATAAAAAATTGAAAAGCTAACGCAAGATTTTTGTAGAGTAAAATAACAAATCTCTATCGAATGACTTTCTGAGAGTACATTTGACAAGAAAACATGTTCAGGTGTCAAATCACTTTTGGATCGAGTATGTATTCAAAAGAGAGATTTCAATGAGTTATTAAACACCCAATAATAGTTTGGTTTTTTAGGTTTTCTGAGCCGAGATATATGCTTCTTATTGTTAACAAGTTCTGTTGCCGAGATATTGAAATTTTTCTGAGGACACTATCGTCACAAAAGTACATTTATTGTGAGTTTTTTTTAACATTCATGTCTCAGCAAAGAAATATCTGTTTACCTTGAACTTGTTACCGTGAACACAACTCAAGTAGATGTACTCATCATAAAATGATGAATTCACAAGAGTGAACTATTAATGAGTTGATCATTAGTACCAGGGTTCACAGAAAAATCATCATTTTCGAAGTTTTATGCGTATACATATCTTATTCATGGATCATGTTAGAGAGTTCAAATTTAGATCATAGAAAGATCCCATTGAGTAGCTACTCTGGACAAAACTTTAGATCTCTAGCTGGTTCCTATGGCTCATAAAACTTCTCACTTAATCATGATTTGCATAAAACCTCGAAAATGATGACTTTTTCGTGTACCTGATACTACTGATCAACTCATTAGTAGTTCACTCTTGTGAACTCATACTTTTATGATAAGTACATCTACTTGAGTTATTTTCACAGTAAAAATTTCGAGATAAACAGATGTTTTTTGCTGAGACATGAATGGCACAAAAAAATCACAAAAAATGTACTGTTTGGACGATAGCATCCTCAGAAAAATTTCAATATCTCGGCAACAGAACAATACTTTTTCAAACGGCTTGCGTCAAAATACTTAAAATTATTCTCTCTACAATATGTCTTAAATTGAGCAAAATCTGATGATCTTGATTGAACAAGTCTGGTCGTGGCTTACATGGACTGACTGATACGTAATAATAGTACAATAATACTGTTAACAATAAGAAGCGTGTATCTCGGCTCAGGAAATCTAGAAAACCAAACAATTATAGGATGTTTAATAACTCATTGAGATCTATCTTTTGAATACATACTCGATCCAAAAGCGATTTGACACCTAGATATGTTCTCTCCTGAGTGACTCAAAAAAAAAACGAAAATGATTTTATCTCATTTAATCTACACTATTCGTTATAATCCTCATATTCAATAGGCATTATTTCTCTGTAGATTATATAATCATTACTTAGAAAATATTGATTGATTTCTATACTTCGAGTATACATTTTTTTTTTTGCTTTTCTTTTTATCAGTTCTGTTATCGTGCGTCACCCGCTATTCCATAGCCTGATGATCTGTCGAACCTTCACATTCATTTTTGTTGGCATTTACACCAGATGTGAAATAACGTTATAGGTCAACGGTAGCACATCATCAATATCTGCATTTATTACAAAGCTATTAATCTATGTCAAAAACTTAGCTCTTATCAGAATTACTCTTTCTTAATCATAATATACTTGAAAATGTTCTAACGATAGTCCCTTCAATTAAAAGTAGAACTTAAATTTTGATTTTGTTTTCAAATATTGTTTATATTTTTTTATTCATTCTCCATTTGATAGATATTGTATCTGTAGATGATTGATATATGATTGTATAGTACAGCTCAGCTACAGCTTATACTAACAATATATACAAAATTTTTGAAAAAGAAAATCAAAATTTAAGTTCTACGTTTAATTGAAGGGACTATAATTTCTTACTTTCTATGGTCTAAAGATCTATTAATAATTATTAACTTCGTCTATAGTAAAATGTTAAAAAAAAGAATCTATTCTAGAACTTAAATTTTATTTCGAAAAAAAAAAGAAACAAAACAAAGCAACATGTAAATATCAAACCTGTTTAATCATTTTAATATCTTCATCAAGTTCAAGATTGTCCAAAATGACGGCAACAAAAAGTGAAAGTACAATCTAATTAAAAAACAAAACAGAAAAAAAATTACATCTTATATCTTAAATAACAACACATTAAAATAAGCAGAAGCTTTACAACAGAAAGACAAACAAGGCACAATACAAAATCTAACAAAATATTCTTTATTGCGTCATACCAAATTAATAGCAAGATATTAAACAATAAAATAAATAGCAACAAATTGAGCTACATCTTCAGTACTATATTACATTGTATAATGCATAACATCAAACCATTGTTTTTGTGTTAAAACTTGAAACATTGATATAAATGCCTATATGTATGAATCAATCAACAATTAAAGCTAATCAAATTATTCAAAATGCATTTCAAACATAAACAAAAAAAAAAGAAAACGTTTTTTTTTCACTCATGCTCATGCTTAATATTATTTCATTCTTTCGAAAATAACTTACCGAATTAGTTAATAAATGAAAAAAAATAAAGAAAAGTGCTGTGAGACATAAAAAGAATACTCCAAATTCATAAACTTCGTCCATTGCTGAATACATCACTTCTGTCCAACCATCATTCATAGCAATACGAAACATAGACATAAATGCCTAAGAAGTATTTTATTTTTATTTTTTTGAACAAATACAACATTGAGAAAAACAAAAAGAAACTTACACGAGGAAATGTTTCAAATTGTTCAAGACCTTTAATAAAACAAAATAATTGCATACTAATCGATGATGTTATCAATAATAAACACATTGTAAATAAAATTAAACTACTAAGTTTTCTACCCGGACCAAAAATCTTAATTAATAAAAAGAATACAAACTTTTGTTTATGAAACAATTTCATCTTTCTTTTGTTTTTTTTTTACTTTATAAAGAAAATCTTCAAGTAAAGGACTTGATTTAAGTAGACGAGCGACACGTAGAACTTGAAAATATGTAAAACCACTTCGATAAAATGATGGAAAACAATGAAGAGTTGTTCCTACAGCAAGAATAAATTCAAATTTCAATGTTGATCTTCGAATATAATTTCTAAAGCCCATTGAAACGATTTTAAAAAGTACTTCCAAATCAAAAAATATCGTAAATAATGTCTAAAATCAATGTAGTTGAAAATGACTTTTTTTTTTAATAGGATATTTTACTTCTACCTCAATTTTATGATAAAATTCACGATTTTTTTTATCAATTATTTCATTATGTGTATGTTTAATAGTTGCTGTAAAGATTGTATTAGCAAGTACAACAAGCATGACAATTGTTGTAAACACGGGAGTTTGTACAATTTTAAAAAAAATAGCTGGTACTACACCTTTCTTAGTATTTTCATCAATATTAACTAATTTTAATGTACTATTATCAGATTTTTGCAGTATCTATATAAAAATTAAGTTTCAATTTGAGTTTCAAAATAAGATTGTATCTACTTTTGTTGCTTCAATGTTTGATATTGCTCCTCTTGAACCCCACATTTGTTGGAATTGAACACGAATTTCAGCGAATGTTTCAATAATAACGGCAATAAATACATTCTAAAATAAAATATTCTTTCTTAAGTATAGAATTAAAAAAATTTGTCTTTTGAAAAATCTTCATAGTACATCCTATTTCTAACTTATCAAAATATTATATATTTATGATATGACTGTACGAAAAATTGAATAATAAAATTAATGATAACTCTTGAAGCAACTCCTAAACAATTTTGTCGTATATTAAATCTAAAAAACATCATATTCTATGTTAATAGATAATAGCTTTAAATCTTTGTCCAGAAGCAAAATTTTTTTTTATTTTCTAGACTATTTAAAACTTACTTTGACGAGCCATGCAAGAAAAAAAATTAATGTAATAAAATAAAAAAATGCACGCCATGATGGAAGACTATCAATAGCTCGATACATAAGAAATACCCATCCTTCTTGACTAGCTGATTCATAAACTGAAAAAAAACTAGTTGCTAATTCATCAAAACCATTATAACCACGTAAATTTCGTTGAATTTCAATTTTTTTACAAGTAAAATTTTCTGGACAATGAAAACCATCTTTTGTTGGCGAACAATATGTATCAGGTATCATTAAATCTGACTGTGTCACATTACTTAAACAAAACAAACGAAAAAAGAAATAAAAACAAGTAAAGAAATCTTATTTTCTCATACTTTAAATCAGTACCATTTCTCACACAATGGAATGTAAGTGATCCAAAAAATTGTACACCTAATATGGCATATAAACTCATAAAGAATAGAAAAAACACTGTTACATTATAAATTTGTGAACTCGAACGTCTAAAAAAATAAAACAAATAAATTAAAAAAATCAAAGTTTACATAATTAACAATTGTTTCTTTTTTATTAACATACTGAAGAATAGTTTTAATTTGACTTTCAGGTAATTTAACTTTGAGAAATGTTTTGAGAACTTTTATCAAAATAAATGGACGTGGTGAACGAATTATTGTAAGATATGAATATTTATTTATAATACCAATTAATTCGAATATCTAATAAACAAAAAGAAAAATTAGAGATTATGAATAAAACAAAAAAAAATATATATATAATTGAAAAATTTTACTTGTAAGACAATAGAAAAATAGATATTTAAAACCATAATAGCGTCAAAATGATTCCATAGATCATGTAAATAAGATGAATTACCAATTAATATTCCTCGAATTTTCATTTTTGCAACCGCTTCAATTGTTAATATAATTGCACAAATTATATCAATGATAAATGTTGTATATTGAAGAAATGGATGATATTCAAATGTTTTTGGTGTATTCATACATGTTGAAATAAAACTTAAAAGACCAGTAAGACGAAATATATATTTAGCTAATGGTTTATCTGTCCATTCAAGATTACCATCTGTTGAATCTTCTTGGTTATAATCCATTAATGGAACAAAATTGTTACAGAAACTTTGCTTTCTCATCAATGTTATTATAGATGATATGACAGCAGCAACCGATGAAGTTACTGCTGTTGCCATTATATTTTCTTATATTATTTGTCTACAAGGAAAAGACAAAAAGAAGAACCTCGACCAGTTGATGATTAGTAAGACATACAAAGCAAAGAGAAAGACAGCAAAACGAATTGTATACAATCTTATATGGGCAGAAGGAAGATATATTTTAGCTCATGGCTTACTATTATTTGCTATTCAGAATAATATTCAGAAAGAGTTACAAGGATATGGAATAAACGAGAATCTCTCTTGAGTCAACTGACACATGCTGTCGTTATCGTCTTTAACAACTATATCAGATGATGATGACATCGTTTTTGTTTCTCGTCGTCGTCTTCTTCTTCTTTTTCTTTTATTTTTATTTGCTTCTTTGAAAACAAGAAAATGCAATGTGCGCTAGATAATGTTAGTCTTATTCGTCAATTGACTTCTCTCTTCTTTTCACAATCTTCGTTTCTACTTTTTATTCCCTCTTCGACGACTCTTGTGGGACATTATATCACGTAGAATAATGTCGATTAGTACGCAAGGGAAAATTTTAAATTGAATCTCTATGCTATTGACAATAGGAAGTAACTTGTTTCGATATATTGTAAGTTATATGTTATTACTAATAGCACGTAAAAAAGAGATTAACATGATAAGCTGATCGATACCAGGAGGACAACCACAACAACAATTGTACTAAACATACATTTGACATGTCTATCATCTTTGTATGTCGTATCTCATTACCTTTTTCTGATACAAATATATATATGTAAAAATATGTGAATCGATTGGGATAGAATTACAAGTTGCCTTCATAGTCTTACTTCAATACATAATATTAAATGTTTTCAAGCTTTTTTTAAATTTCTTTACTTGTTCTAGTCCTAACATGATTGATCAATTGAAAATTTCATACCACAAACAAAAGAATAGAATTATGAAAGAAAATCACAGTAATAGCAAGCAGTAGAGTTTTGTCACTTCATACATATAATTAATAAACATAGATAGATATATGTATACATTGACAAAGAACAATAATAATGTGAGTTATTAACGAAAGCAAAAGAGAAAAGCAACGAGAAAATAAGGAAGAGTGTTACTTTTCTTTCGGGTAGCTAGTTATTTTTCTTTACTTTCTGTTGACCGGAACGTGCTACATTGTTTGAAAGAAGAAACATGCAAGTTACTGATGAACAATTTTCATAAACATACTCATAACATCCAGAAACAACTATCTATCTTTCTATCTTCATTTCTATGCGTCTGTAATGTTAGTTGAAGAGGTATTACAAGCAAAAGAGTACAGAGTAAATGATAGGTATCACTGTGAAGTTTTTATTTATGCGAAACAACTTTAAAAATATGGCTCAAAGTTATTACTTACGACTGAAATACAAAAACTAGTCTTTTTTCATTTTCAAAAAAAGTACTTCTGAATATGTCACTGCAAAAGAAATCTAATGGTGTCAAGTCCGATAATAATGAAGCCTATTAACAATCTCTGTAACTTTTCAAACTGATAACATCGAAATAAATGCATATAAATGATAGCACAAAACCTGACCATATAAACGCCCAAAAAAAACACAAGAAACGGAAGCATTAAAAGAGAAACATTGCGAAGTGGCTTTTTTTATCAAACGAAAAAAGACCGGTTTTAGTATTTCAACTAAAAATGATAACTTTGAACTGCATATGTAAAGTTAGTTCGTAAAGATAACTACTTCACAGTGATGTCTATCATTTGAAAAAAAAATGATTAGATTAAGTTTGATAAATAGTAAAGTTATACAAATTTACTTTTTCGGAGAACTTTTGAAACACCCTGTAGATTGTAAACGTGCAGGCATGTAAAAGAAAATGCAATAAGATCAACCAGATTCTCTCTATTCTACGAGTGATGATGGCAATTACACGACAATAGTATTGAAAGAACAAGAAAAAAATGAGCACAACATAGATTGTATCTGAATAATAGTCGTAGAACTGTGTCAAGAGGAAAATCTATTGATCTCTCGTGACAAAGTTACTATACAAATCTAAAAGATGTATAGACGGGAAAATTACAGAAATATAGAGTAGCAGTTTGATGAGACAGAACACTATCTGTATATACAAATATGGGTGTGGGTATAGGCGTTGCTGCAAAGAGTATAGATACTCACACATTCACACCCAATACCAGTCAGACCAGACCAGTCGGTATACCGGCATGAGTTATTCCTCTTTTTTCTGACTCTACAACAGTCAAATCAACTCCTTTATTACTCATTTACGACTACAGTGCTTTTCATTTTTTATTTTCATGTGTTTCGTTTTCGTGGCATCTATTGATGAATAGAAAACTTCATCAGACTACAAATTCTATATTAATTTTGTTCTTTGATTAACTTGTCTTCAGACATCGACAGTATTTATTAACTGTATACTTAATCTACCTTGCACGCTATATTCCAGAAATCCAAACAGGCCATTGGGCCTGTCTGCCTGTGATGTTTTTTCTAAATTTTCAATAAAAAACTTCACTTATTTGAGCAGAAAATGTAGATATCAAAATATAATATGGAGAATCTTTGCCCTGAACGCCGAGAAATGTTTTTCTTTTATCAGTTAGCTCAGCACTATCATGACTATTAATAGATTATAACTACATTGCTCATTGTTCATTTAATTATTTAGGTTTTCTATCTGTTTCTTAAGTTACTGTTCGCACTTTTTAATTGGTTATTGTTAAAATTTTACATACAGCGTCTACGAAGTCTTATGTTCCTGATTCATATTTATACTGTCATAATATAGTCGGACTTAATATGTTCTCTTCAACTACGTAATTAGTTCATTAAATTCATGCAAAAGATTTTTACTCAAAAACAAAGTTTTTCTAAATGTTAATATTTTCTTTTTTGTCTTTATCCAACAGTTACATACTGCATTAAGCCAATAGATCTTTCGTTTAATCATGTTATTTTGATATCCGTAACTTCCTTGTCTTCGTATAAAGACAGTTTTCCACTTTCACTCAATTATTATCCTAATATTAGTATGTAAAAAATATACACAGACCTCAATAGGCAGGCAGACTAGGCCAACGAAAACTTGGGCTGTTTGGGCCTCTGCTATATTCACTTTGTTATCTCTTATGTCTGGGAAATATATGCTATAAATAGTGGAAAATACAAACAAAATGTATGAGGAACTACAATGTTAAATAATTATTCAATTTTGTTTTAATAACATGACATCATATCAAAGTGAGTTGAGAAATTATAATAAGGATACTAAGACGACTTTTGCCTTAATAAAATAGTCTGATGCATATTTCCTCTCCCATATAGCCTTTGTCATTAATAAAAAGCTTTTAATTTGCGAAAAAAACTACTTTATATGCCAATATTTTGAAAAAAAACATGCGAAAACCAAACAAAAATTCAGAACAAACGGACCGGCCGTTTATCTTTACCAGTTACAACTTTGTCCCACACGTTCATGTACATTTCGTTTCATCGTCTCTTTCAGTCTAGTAACGAGTGAATCTATCTCAAGGAAAAAATGGGTGTGGGTGTGGGTGTGGGTGTGGGTGTGGGGTGTGGGTGTGGG